AATCTGTTGTAGTCCTGCTTTTCCTTCTATAGTTGGAGGGAGAAGCCTGGCTTAGGGTTCCCTGCCTGATTGCATATATTGTATGACTGTGTTTTTATGTTTTTAATTTACTTATCTTTAGGTTATTTTATTTTTTATTGTACATAGTTTTTGATTATTATTTTACTTTTGTTAATTTTATATTTTCTGTATATATGGTGTGAATGTGTTCATATATCACTATAATTATTGTCCACGTGACAGATTATTATATTTCTAAATAAACAAATAAAAAAAAAAATAACAATTGGCAAGCGCCCCTTTAGGTCGGCGCTCTGAGAAGATTGCTCCGGTTGCTCCACCCTAAGGCTGACACTGCCTTTGAATTTAAGTGAGTACTGTCCTGTCAACTGGAAAAATAACCAAATACAAGACTCCAGTAGCTGACACCCATTAAATTTCCAATCCCCTTTATAAAATAAGTTAAAAACAAGCAAAACATATTCTGAAGACACTCCTAGGAAAAATAAAACAAAAACGTTGGGACAAATCGAAGTAGTTAAAGAGAAGAAGAAAAAACAAAGGTATATTGTCCTTACTGATGGTTATTCCTAGGACTCTATATCGACCATGAGGGACCTTCCTAGTTTGCCACCCATTATTTTGGTTTCAGTTACCCCTGGAAACGTTGATATGACTGCTAAAGGTCATGTCCAAAGAGCTGAATCTCACAGGGGGCCCTTATTCTTGTGTTGTATCAAAGATAAACTTAAAAGAGTTATTGATTGAAGTGAGGTTACAAGAGTATTGGAATATGACTTAGAATGGTTTGGTGATAGTTGCAATGGAGAGCTGCCGAAGAATGTGGCTCAAGACTAGAATTGAACTGCCTTTGAAAATTTAGAGGTAGGCGTTTAAAAGAGGCTCGATGATGACGCCAAAAAGAGAAAAGGTTCTATTCGTCATCTGGGAAAGTAAAAGGGTTAAGAATTATTGAAGAAAGTTAGTCGACGGTCCTACATATCATGTGTGATAAATATTCAGGACGCAGTCATTATAAAGTTTTTATTAGTGCGGACGTTTCAACCCAAATATGTGAATACCCAGTACTTGAATACCTTCAGTGCTCGAACCACGCCCTGATGATGACCCATATTTTTGGGTTGAAACTTCAGAACTAATAAAAACTTTATAATGACTGTATCCTGAATATTTATCACCCATAAAATAGTTAAGCTTTTAAGGTCAATGATTCTGAGAAGTTCCTGTCTTAAAAAAATTATTTCTAAATTCTGTGGGAACCAACTGTGTGCACCCTTCACAACTGTCTATCTTGGCAGGGCTAATGATAAAGGACGGCATTCATCGAATAGATTATTACTAATTTCTGTGGGAATTTTGAACCCTTCACAAAAATCTCTATATTTGCTGATCTAATAATAATGGTCGGCAGCTATCTCGACAATACAATTGATGATTTCTGCGCGCACTTTTAAGAGTTCTCGCAAACCCCAACCCCACCTCCTGCCGATTAAGATTTACAGTAATCTGTCGTTGGTAAAATACAAACTTGAAGTATTTAACAAAATCTTCTTACCAAGATCTAATTTATTTTTTTAAGTCAACCCAATGTAATAGAATAATAAAGATAAATAAAGCATTCCGTGAAAAAAAGGCATTATTAAATTGAATCATACACATGGTAAGACCTCAACCGATAAATGCCAAGCCCTAACGCAACAACAACCTCAACCCCAGCCTCATAATCCTAATATACCTAACCATCAACAACAAATTCATCATATCCCTGCTCCTTCAAATTCAACGGATCTCACCAGTTTGGTAGCATTTTTCCTCACCGATTTCAAATCTCTAGTTACTCCACTCATATCACTCCTCACAAATCCGGTATCTCACCTCATCCCTCCTTTAAAAAATCCTTAATAACTCACTTCTCAAAACCCATATCCATTCTTCTTTGGAATGCGAATGGTGTTAGAAATCACGTTGACGAACTAACAGCTTTACTATTGGACAAGAACATAGACGTAGCACTAATTACGGAAACTCGACTGACCAGAAAAAAGCTTTTAAAAATATCTCAATACATAACATACCGTGCTGACCATCATGATGGTAGAACACTTGCCGGTACTGCTCTTATTGTAAACCAATCCATTTCTCATCACCAGCTCCCATTAAAGACTCAATATTTCCTACAATCCACCGCCATCGTAATCAACCTTCCTCATCACCACAGTATCAGCATATTGCCCTCCTAACAGATCCATATCCAATGTCCAGTTCAGTTCTCTTCTCAACTCCTTAGGACATCACTTCATCCTGGGTGGAGATTTCAACGCCAGACATCATCAATGGGGTTCTGGAACCACTAATTCTCGTGGTAGAACATTGCTATTTGCACTCAATTCCCAACGTTTCTGTCGCCTTCCTCCTAACTCACCTAAATACTGGCCCACAGATCCTAACCGCAATGCCAATATCCTTGATTTTTTTCATCCACAATGGCTTAGGTCCATTCAATCATTCCCTTACCCGTCTTGAAGAACTTTCCTCAGATCATAGTCCATTATTACTGCAATTATCTCTAGCTCCTGTTCCCAAGCCTACTCCGCCATCCTTCATCAGAGGCCCAGTTAACTGGAAACTTTTTCACCAAATCCTTTCCGATAAAATTAACCTCAGAATAACCCCAGAAAACTTTGTCAATGCCGTACATTTCTTTACCACCCCTATTCAACAAGCACTGGACTGCTTCCTCTCCAAACCACTCCTCAAGAACTCCCAAGAAAATTAAGTTACCTCAACACCTCATAGACCTAACCCACACCAAACGCCGTGCCAGATTATTATGACAACTTACTAGACACTCCACCGATCGTCAGTCCTATAATTATTTCTGCAAAAAATTAAAGCAGGAATTGGTCCCCTTCAGTTCCCAATCCTTCAACTCCTACCTTACTTCCCTCTCTGCTCATGACAATTTCCTATGGAAGATCACTAAAAAAAATTCTAAAATCCCATCATATTTCACATCATCTCCGTCGAGACGATGGCTCTTCGGCCGCGTCTGACGAAGATAAAGCCGAGGAATCCGCCAAACACCTTTCCCTTACATTCACTTCTCATCCGGAATCCAACACCACCCACACGTCAGCAGTAGAGGAATTCGTTAATTCAACCACCCCGCTCTCCTTACCGCCTAAAGCAGTTAACCCTTCTACGGTCAAATATCACTTACAAAAACTACCTCGCAATAAATAGGTAATCAAACTTAAGCAAAGTCGAGCTTGGTTAGTACTTGGATGGATGAAAGCCCGATTTGGGTGACCGTCCATCAGGAAAAGCCATGCTGCCTGAGACAACTGAGAAGTTCGGTCCATAGACGGTGTGTTTCGAGAAAAGATATATAGGTCCTCGTCCAGAATAAGGGAAATAAGAATGTCTGTGAAAATTACAGAGGCATGGCACTCCTAACTATAGCTTAAAAGATATTTTTTTAAAACTTCTTCATTGAAAAATATTACAATCTGTCTCAAAGGACATTTATAATAGTGTTCAGAGATTACATTCACACTTGGTTATATTAATGTTCAAAATAATAAAAAAATGGGCCAAAAATGTTTTTTAGAATACCAGGGTTGCTTCAGGGATAGAAGATTCACGATAAGATCGCATTCCAGGATGTGATCCCAAGTAAACAAAAACATGAATGGACGGTAGATATAAAGTTGCAACAAGCAATAGATTTGTTTTTGCATTAAAAAAAACTGTTACGTTTTCCATTTCTTTCACTCCAAGCAAAAAATATGTTATATAAAACTATTTGCTATGGCAATAAAACATGTGTCTTGACAAAAAAGAATATATATGTACTGTCTGAATATAGGAAAGAAAAGTACTAAGAAAAATATATGGGCAGACATAAAATATAAAAGTAACAGACGGAAGATAAAAACAGGTGCGGCATTACAAAGACTATTCGGAGAGCGTCAACTTATACCACTGCATAAGAAATTGATTTTTTTGGTGGGGTAGAGGGGAGAGGATGCTTATGACGTAATTATCCTAGGGCGCCAAATTTCTGAGGCTGGGACTGTGCCCACTGATTTTCAATTATGGTTTTAGAGCTCTTTCTCCTACATGAGCTACTAAGCAGTATTTATTCTCTCGTATCGTGATCTAGCTCATTCGATGACTGCTTGAAAGCAACCAATTGTACGCCGAATATAGCGCAAAGTCGGAAATAGCCAAAGCCGTTTCTCGTTCTTCAACTCTGAATCTTAGTAAAGGCATTTTAAAATTTTCCCTAGCCCACTGGCCAAATGAGTATTGGTGGTGAAAGACGAATATTTCTTTCTTTAGGTAAATTGAATTAAGGTCAAATCTCTGTCGTGGAAACGAAATGAAAATTTTTTTTATCTACTTTTTTTTCATTTCAAAAAAATTATATCATTATGGTAAAAAAAAAAATAAACAACTTAATTTTAGTAAGTGGTCTGCTTCAATTTGTGAACAGTTTATTTTTTTTTAATTGTTTGGTTTAATATAGTTTTTTGTCTTTCGCTTCAATATTATAATTTTCAATCATGTACCTACTTATTCATGAAATCCATATGATTTATTATATTTTTAGTTCAAAATATTTCTTTTTTTTTTTTTGTAGTTTGTTATTTATTTTCGTTTCGTTTTTATCTTTGTTTTGCATTTGTTTACGTTAGTGTTATCTCAGAAAATGTGAATCATACACCTCATACAGATGTTACGCTAATTTATAAAGAGTATATACTGCTTTACATAAACTCGTCCTGCATAGGGTAACCATAAGAAAAAATAAATGTGTATAATGATATGATGGGATGCTTCTGAAACTTTTTCATATTTTAGCCTTAGTTTTATTGTTGATATCTTTGGTCACTATTCATCATCAGTCCTCAATCAGCTACATTAGCGATTAACAAAATTTTAAGATTTAGGAAATAAAAAATAATACATATTAATTGTTTCTTGATTTTTGTATTTATTAGAAAAGTGATATATCTGTTCTTTGACTAGTTTTGTTGTTTTATATAAAGTGAATTTTAACAAAATTATCAATATTTTTATAAATACATCAAGTAGTGAACAATGTTATTTACAGTTTGGCAGTGTTAAAATATACAAGAAAATGGCCTAATGGCCATTGTTTTATATAATTTGTGGGTCTATGTACATGTTTTTATTTATATTCACAATCGTATTTCCACAATATTTTAAATATAAATTTTATTGATGTAAAAGGAGTTGTTCAAGTTCGTCTGCAGATCTCAGCAAAAATGCAGCAGATTCCCTGTAACCAAAAATAAATATATTTATTTATAAGGCGAAAGATAATGTTAATAATAATTTTATTTAAACAATTTGATAATGAATGTTACAAATAGTAATTTATCCCTTATAAATGCGAGGTTAATTACAAATAGGAAGGTTAATACAATTTATATATATATAAGTTTTTATAACACCATAAAAAAAAAACACTTTACCACTTACGGTACCCAATTTAAAGAGGCTGGGTGTGCCCCAGAAGGGTTGGTCTCGCTATCCCAGGATCGCCTCACGGGCTATGAAACAGGATAAATAATTTTTCTGCCATGAGCCGGGATTCGAACTTGGGACCTTGAGCATTAAAAGCTCTGCGCCCTGCCACTGAGCTGCCCCGCTCCCGTTATAATATCATAGAATCTTAAAATATAAATTTAATATAAAAAATAAATTGAATATTGGACAGACGGGGTTCGAAAAGTCCTTGAACGATTTTAAATAAAATTATATGAAGTATGACGGATTTTTTTATGGACATCCTAATTTTAATGTCCAACGATTTATACCCATTGAGAGAAAAATGTTTATACAGAAGAAAACATGAAGCAAAAATACATTGTATTGCACATTAAAGATCATTTCATTGAAAATGGATTTATATAAAAAGGATTTATGTTATACTGTTTTGTACTTCTACTCGTCATGCTTCCATTTTGAAAAATTGAGTGTTAAAACGCATATTTGGAAGATTGATTGCTGAGGAGATGGATAGGTAAATTATGTTTAAATGAGGTGAGAGATGAGGATTTGCGTATGGAGGTTGGTAGGGAATTCCAATACAAGGTAGCACGTATGACAAAGAATTTTTTAAAGGAAACAATTCTATGAGAAGGAATAAACAGGTTTGAGGTCTGGGATCTCGTGTTGAACGAATGGACAGAGGAACAAGGAGTAAACAGATGGAGATGTTAACAGGGTTTTTTGGTTAAGAAGATTAGAAAAAGGTATACACCTAGGAAGTATTGTCGTCGGAAGACTGGATAGAGCCACTTCAACTCGGCATACCATTTGGAGAGGTGGTAGTGCCTGGGGACTCCAAAAATAAATCTAATCAAACGATTCATTGGTCTCTTTAATCTGATCTCAAGTTCACCGTATACAAGGCAGCCATAATCGAAATAGGGGGACGGTAGAATATGTGTTGGATATAGTGTTGATGCGACCAATATATCTCATACCAGTGGCTTAATAAGAAGTCCAAGAATAAGTAAGGAAATAGCTAGTTTTCTCTCTTTAATGTTATTGATTATGTATAGTTTCGCAGGATGTATATATTTTGACAAAAAAAAAAATATATATATACACACACACACACACATATATATATATATATATATATATATATATATATATACATACAGATACAGATATAAATATAGATCTACATATACATTGGCGTAAAACTCACCTGTAGCCTGCCACAAGCCTGCGGACAGAATTGATTTCATGCATTGATAACCTCGGTCTAAGAGATAGGTCAGTAGGTTCAACTGGTCGCCCTGGTCCTTCTGGAATGTTTCTGTACAGCGTACTGGAAAAAGAAACATTTGCTTTAATTTATTTGCATCATAAAACTTGTTTTTAGTATTTAAATAAAATAAATTAATCGTAATCGTAACTAAAGTTGTATAGTCAACTGAACTTGTTAATTCACGTTAAAGAATGGTTTTACGAACTCGACCAAATAAACTGACATACAAAAAAATTTTTTTTTGTTTTTATAAAATCGGCCCAAGACTCCCACTGAAGTCCTACACTGCCCAAAAATTTTCTTAACCACCGCTAATGTTAATTTACATCGAAATTTAGTTAGCAAATTTTTAATAACATGCGTTCTTTTTGCTCCGGTCAATTGCGAAATGATTGCCATTAACTGCATTTCTGAAACGTTAATAGAAAATAACGGAATATTTGGAAAGATATAAACGAAAATGATAATAAGATTTTCAAATGCGAGTGGTGTAATTGAAATCGAATATTACTAGTCGAAGTTATTGACATTGTTCAGGGAAAAAATTTGAAAGTTATGAGTAACATATTAACAATTTGTGTTATTAGCAAAGATAGGAATATATGAGCCTTTCAGTTGGCAGAATGACTAACTCCAGTTTCAACATTTTTTATTATTAATTTTGGTGATATTTCTAGTTTGAATATGTATAACTTTATTCACATTTCTTTATTTCAACTCTGCAATCACCTACTCTTGAATCAAACTACTCACTCTCTGTATAGATATTATAAATATGCCAAATAGAAATATCACTAAAATGGCTTTACTCAAAAATATTGAAATCGGAGTTAGTCATTCCATCAACTGAAAGGTTCATATCAGAGAAAATACTCCTATATGGTAATTATTATAATTTATCACTATAATTTTCGGGTCATTGATTGTACCAAAGATTAGAACGCCATCAAATAAGAACGAGTTACAAGTAAATAAAACAAACAAATTCTGAGAACATTCTTGTTTATTGTTTGTATATATTATTAACGATATATTTAGTTTTAATATTTCAGACTAAACAAAAAAAAAATATATATATATATACAGTGGCTCACAGTCAAAATGATACAGCTGACTATTGATAGAAGTTATTAAATAAATAAATAGTTCAATTTATATTACACTGAAAACAATAAATTATTTTAATCAATAAACACGGATCAATCAATCAAACACGGATAAGAAAAAAAATATATGGTTAGCTGCAAAAATGGCGATATTGCTGGTGATATTCATATAGAAGGTAACATGTTTGAACAGGTAGAGAGGTTTAAGTATCTAAGGTCTATGATAACTAGAATAAACGAAATTGAAGAGGAGATTAAGGTTAGGCTGAAGGCGGGAAATGCTTGTTATTTTTCTGTGACAAAACTACTTAGCTCGCGCATCTTGTCCCGGAATTTAAAGACTAGAATATACAAAACCATTATCCTACCTACAGTTCTTTATGGATGTGAAACGTGGCCGCTTACATTAAGAGATGAGCAACGTCTTAAGATTTTTAAAAATAAAGTATTGCGTAGAATATTCGGACCGAAGAAAGATGAGTTAACCGGAGAGTTCAGAAAGTTGCAACAACGCCGAGTCGCGTGAACTATATCCAGTTAATATAATTGAGGTGATTACATCGCAGAGAGTCAAATGGGCTTGTAAAATCGTTGGGATTAGTAACGAAATAATTCCTAAAAGGTTGATATTTGCTTGTTGATATAGTTGATATGTACCGAACAGTAAACATCCGAGAGACAGACCGAAGCAAAGGTGGGAAGATTGCGTTAAAGCCGATCTGAAGGGACTGGGTTTGGACGGAGAACGGTGGAGGAAGGTGTGTAATAAGCGATTGGTGTTGTCGGCATCGAACCTCCGGATTCGCTGAGCCTTTTATCATTATTATTATAATCAATAAACATACTAGCAATATGTACTCTTCTTAAGTTCTGTTTATGGGCGTGGGGGTGTATGGCGGCTTCTGATTGAGGGAATGTTTATAGTGGAAATATTTACATGGTATAGTGAATAAACACATTTACTTGGACATTTTGAGAAAAAAAACTTGAAAGAAATTGCAAAAAATCTTGGGCTAAAAACAAATTTAGTTCATCACGATAATGACCCCAAACACTCCGCCATGTTAGTTAAGGAATGGCTTGATTATAACTGCCCCAAAATTATTAAAACACCACCACAGTCACCAGATCTTAATGTGATAGAACACTTGTGAGCAAAATTGGAGGTAGAAATTAGAAAACATGTAATTTCTAGCAAGGATGATTAAAAAAAAAGCACCTCCTTGAAAATTGGAAGGCTAAGCCCAGAATTTACAAAAAAATTGGTCGACTCCATTACAAACAGACTGAAAGAAATGGTAAAAAATAATGGCTTGCCTACAAGATATCGAACTAAATTAAAAGTGAGGTGTATCATTCTGACTGTGAGCTAAAATTATCCATTTTTTTTTTATAATAATCACAGTTGAATACTTTAATTTTATTGATTATGTACATATTTAAATTGAGATTATAGATAAATCTGTTGAAGAGTTTCTATTTTTAATAGGGTGTATAAAAAAAAATGATCATTTTTCAACCAAATATTCGTATTATTATTTCTTTGATATAAAATACATTTAATACTTAAAGTATAGTCCATTGTTATCTACCTTCATTAGCCATCTGCTAGCCAATTGCTCGATCCCACACTCATGCCACTCTTTGGGATGGCTGTGAAAGAACTCTTGGACCGCGATTTCAACTTCCGCAAAATTATTAAATTTTTTCCCTTGAAGAAAATGGACCACGGATCTAAATAAGTGCTGAGGAGTAAGTTCGTGAGAGACCAGTCTACTGCTATTTTTCACCTTCTCCACCGAGATGGCGACTAACAGTATCTTTGGATACACCACACTCTCTGGCAAGTTCGCGAGTACTTGTGGGCGGATTTGAATCGACAGATTCCTGCAGAACTTCATCAATATCCTTAATGGTCCCATAGAGACCTTCTTCCTTCACAATGTCGTACCTCTACTGTTAAATATTTCGAACCAACACCGCGCAGTGCGCTGGTAAAGGACACCTTTCCCTTCATATTTAATAATTTCACGGGTCGGTTCAGCAACTGTGAATGTTTTCCGCCAGTAATGCCTTAAAATCACGAGAATTTCTTAGGATACTTTTATGGTTCTTCTTTGAAACAAACAACTATACTGAGTTTTTTTAAAAAAAAAGGAATGAGATTAAACAAGCTTAGAAAATGCTCTAAAGGTATTGTTAAATAAGATTAAAATATTTACTGTTCTTTGAAATCTTGAATTTGATAAAACGGTCATTTTTTTTTTATATACCCAATTATTTGTTCACTGTAACCATTTAAGTCTTTTTTGCCATTTTCCTACTGGTTGTATCAATTTCACAGTGAGCCACTGTATAATACATATAATAATAATACATATATATAATAATAATATAAAAGTACTGATTGAATGAAATGATACAATAAACGTTTATTATAAGAGGAATCTTAGCTTTTATTATGGGTATATTACAATAGATAGAAAATTGCCTTGTTTAATTCTATGATTAATTAAATCCTCACCTAATTCCAGTTGCGTTGATTCCTCTGAGTTCAGGCTGCCTCGGGGTGTGTGGATCTTTGGCAGAGCTATTTACAGAGGGAAAACTCTTAGTTTCTGCACATAGATTAGCTGGTGAGAAATGTTCAGGAAGTACAGGTCTCTGATCGGCCTATAAAAAAATCATAAATCAAATTTTATAAAACATTATTCAATTAAAGTATGAATAAATAAATTGATTGAACGTTTCGACTGAGGAATCATATATATATTTGTAATTTGCACCTTTTATGAGATTATTCTCATAATAAAATCTATCTCATTAAAAAAACAAAAAAACTCAGTCTCTTCGGTCACAATTAATAATAATCTTTCAGGTGTAGAAAGATACGCGATATTACAATCGATTCACAATGATCTACACAAGCCTAATAAGATAATTTATCAGTTTCTGTTATTACATGAGATGTTAAAATGATAAATAGATATTATCTCAGGAGAAATAGCGTATCTCACGTCGTCAAACCAAACGATATTGAATAACAATAATGGAAGTTATATTGAAACAGATAAGATAAATTATATTTAGACTTCTAATGTTACATTAGAATAGAATAAATAGAAGCATTACTATGATTTTTTTTTTTTTTTTTGTTTAAATGCACTTAATCAAAAGTAAATCAATTCAAATATACTAATTGTCTTTTTTTTTAAAATTAGGATATTACAAAAATACACTTTTTTATTTGTTAATTGAAGCCACTGTAATTAACTACATAAATCATAAGTATAAGAGAAGTTGGTTGGATATTGCAGTTATTAGAAGTCCAAAATAAATCGCCAAAAATTGCGATCGAACTACCCGTTATCGACCCTCCCTCTCTAACATTTCGAAGAACAAAAATAAAACCAAAATCGATAAAAATTAATAAATGAATAAAATATGTAAACTGGAATCAATTAAGAAAATAGGAAAAACCGACTACCTAGCTAAGCTAAGGCCTAGAAATAGGTACGCATGTATTTTACCACGCCCTATGTTACAATTATTGAAATTGTAGTTTATATTCAAAGATAATCATATGTAGCAACATATCCTAGGATTATATGAATCATTCTTATGGACCCTTCTATTTATATTTGAAGATTTTACCACATTTCAAGCATTTAAAATTTGAAGGATTGGAGAATTGAGAGCTCATCTCACTGTCTTAAACCTTTAAATAAAAATAAAGATATGTAATATATCCAATCACATTATTAACATATTTTCAAACCCACAAGCCAATAAACTAATATATTAACAAATAGCTCATGGTACAGAACCATTTTTATCAAATAATTAACATCCGCCTGAAACTTCGTAAATAGCTTCATCTAATCGTAACCTACAACTATTTTATTTACAAAAAATCTCAGAATTGGAGCGTTTTCAATATGGAGATCGTCAAACTTTGTCTATTTAATTTGGTACTAAAAACTTCTAAATATCCACTTGAATCGTAAGATAATTTGTGCGCTAACTCGAGAATAAAGTTGGCCTTCAAAAACATCGAGCCGTTTGGGGTGACCTACAACCACAAAATGTGAAAATAACGAGGTTCTAAACGGCCCAATATTTTTGAACTCCTCCTTTTTTCTCGATTTTGTGATAAAATTATCTCACGATTCCAGTGGAAAGCAAATGGGCTTATACGAGTTTTTAGTACCTAATTAAATAGGCAAAGTTTGCCGACCTGCAGATTTAAAACGCCCCAATTCCAACAGTTTTTGTAAATAAAATAGTTGAGATGAAGATATTCACGAAGTTCCAGGCGGATATTAATTATTTAATGAACAGGGGTCTGTTACGGACTAATATAGATAAATAAATTCATTTTACAATAATAATGTTAATTATCACTCATAATTTTTGTACATATTATAAGCTCCCAACACTTTTTTTTTTTGGTGGGTGGGGAGAGGTCAATTGCAACCAAAATGGAAAGCCTGTGCCCATGACTGAGACAAAGACGTATCCATTGGAGAGGGAGGCATAATTTGCTTATCAAAAAAGAGAAGGCTGTTGCCCTCCCCCTGTCAGTGCTAATTAAAAAAAAATAAATGAAGTTGAAAAAAATATATAAAAAACCAAATTTGAGAAAATATTTTCAACATAGATAGGTTGGTAGTTAGTATTTCAACGTACTGAAAGAAACTAATTCCACCACCCTTGAATTACCGCCCTTTGAATCATTGCCACCCTTTTGGCTACGCCCTTCAAGGAGAATCAGTGAAAATACTAAAAAGTCTTATACCGGTACCTTTTTTTTTTTCAATTTTTAATTAAATAAGTTGTTATTGATTAACAGATTTTGAGGTGAGTTAATTACACATGGGGGGAGGGGGAATAGAGGTGTGCGATCATTGATTAACACACAAATTGGAAACCTTATTTTATTGTTTGCCGACGTTTCGATCTAATTTATTGGTCTTTATCAGTATTAAGTAAAAAAAAAAAAAAAAAAATCAAACAATAAGAAAAACAATATAACAAAAATATGAAAATAAAAACTAATATATTATAATTTATCTTCCTGAATTTTACAATATCGTACTTTTTCATTCATATCTCATTATTTAATTTAATTTTTAATTATTTAAACATATGTATTTGGTTTATCATTACCATTTTCATACTGTTTTTTTTTTTAACTTCCTGCATTATTTTTATACTGGTTTTCTTACTATTTTCAAATTGTATGCTATTTTATTTTTACTTAGACCTGGTGAAAGCCGAAAACTAAGACCGAAACGTAGATATACAATAAAATAAGGTTCCTTAGTTGTATTTTATTTCATCAATGAACGCAACCCCTACCAACTTCTTCTCCCATTAATATACTTATTACTTATTGTTGGATGGAATAAATTACTATAGGTTTACTTACTCCTGGTAGTAAAGGCATCGGTTGGCCAACCGGTTCCAATCCTAGGCGCATCCTTTTCGCATTATGTGCTTCATTTTCGCAGGCTGAGGCCAATATCTGCTCTGCTTGAGCCGACGTTAGATGTGCCGGTGTCGGTCTTGCCTGAAACATATAGCTATTTAAACGACACGAAAAAAAAAGTGTTACATGATTTGAATACAGCTTGAAAAATAGGATAATATATTCTTACGGCTTCGAATGAACCATCTCTCGACCTCTTGTTCCTCCGGCATGATTTAAGATAGGTCCTTATTCTCTTACGGGCTCTTTCTCCGAATTCCGGAAATTGGCGGTTACATGAATCGATGATGGCTTGGATCTTTTCCTTGGGCTGTTTAGATATCGGTACTATTCTGTCCAAGTTCTCGTCAACAAAAAGTCGAACAAACATCTAAAACAATCATTTTCAATGTTGTTTGTATCATCCTTAAAATGTTTCAATGTAGTATGTATCTATTATATGTAATATAATTAACGAGAAAATGTTGAATAGATAAGATTATCAATCAAAAAGGTTTGATCAAGTCGAAGATAGAATTTCATTCCAATTTTTTTCAAATGTATTGCGACCGGGTTGAAAAATATACGATTTCATTATTATAGAACCCTGTTGTTTCGCGAAATATTTACAAATTTTAAACAAACATTGTAAGGCCCTGATGACCTAGTGCGAAATGAATGTTGGTACGTCTACCCTAGATAGCCTTCTGGAGTAAACACAATGGACCAACAGGCACACTTGTCGAACTTGTTTTCCCACAAATATCTGTGAACAGTGGGTTACTTTACTTACGAACATTACTACAATGATGACGAATTTCTTTAATTGGCTTACAACTGAAAATCTAAGTCGTGAAAGGCGTTGGTTGAGAAACATTATTTTTAAATTGGTGAGTGCAAAAGTATATATTTTTCCTTATTTTATTCTTTATTCCATATTTATGAGTTTTTTATGTTATGTTTTATTCGTTTGACAACGTTTCTTATACTTTTATTGCTGGATTACTTCTGGAAACTGTGAATTAAGTTTTATCCGTGATTAAAAGCGAATATCAGTTTTAGTTATTAATTTTCATTTTAGTCATTATTCATTTCTTAACCGTACCCTGAGCTTCAATCTCTTGCTGCGTCTATCGTTTGCCTGGCACACAACTTTGATGACGAAATCAGCTGAATGGTGATGGCTCTTAAAAATAATAGTGTCCATAAACTGCACCAGAGCATTCATTATCTGTGACTCGCAAGCAGTCATAATCAGTTTAAGCACCGATGGCCAAACTAATTCTCATGACTTTCAGGAAGGCCGACGAATTTTGGAAGAGCTTCTAATCAGAGGGTCAATCGTGGTCCTGCAATGGATCCCATCGCATGTTGGGATTGCGGGTAATGCAAAAGCTGATGCCCTAGCCAAACAAGGCTTCCAGATGGTCATCCCTCCCTCAGCAACTAAATACTCTGCTACTAAACTCTGCATTAAAATGGCGCTATAAGAAAAAATGCAACAATTTTACCAAAAGTTCGCAGAAGGGAAACAGTGGATTACCTTCTTGATCCAAATCATCGTCCTACACCCACTACATCGAACTTCTCCGGTATGAGTCGGTTGTCGCCTTCCGATCGATCACTATTCACGACTATTTGAATGTTCACCTCCACAGGATCGGAGTGAGAGATAACCCTCGCTGCTCATTATGCATCACAACCTCAACCATGACATAAAGTCATTAGTATGAATGTCCTCGTTTTTAAGAAATAAGACGGAACTTGTCTTCCGACGATACAAATTGGTCAAAAATGACGAAACTTTATTGGTCTGCAAGTGGTCTTAAGGCGGAAGAGCCGTGACCATACGGCGTAACAAAAAATATTTCTTAATCGTAATTTGTTAACATTTGACTGCGTGTAACATTGCACCAGAAATTAAAGATTTTGGTTTATTGACTGTTTTTTTTATATTTTCAACATCCTTCCAATATTATAGTATATAGAAAATAATAATAATTTCAAATTAAAGTTAAAAACAAATAAATAATTTGGACTTATTTTGATTGTAATTTATAATGAAAGAAAATGACTACTTTCTTCAATATATTTTTTCTAGTTTCATTTCAATCAAAAATATTTATGAAATATGTAAAAAATATATATAGGTCATTCTCAATGAAAATTTAAACAAAAAATTTCTTTTAAGTAGATTATGTTTTTAGACGTAGACAACTGAAACAATTTTTGATTATTATAGCCTTTTATTAGTTTTAAAAAGCGGTGCAAATTTACTCTATCGTATAAAATTTGTTTCACTTTTTTAAGAAAATAATAAAACACTCCAATATCAGCTCAGCGTAATCCAGAAGCTTTTTGTATCCTTTAACTCTAAAGAAGTTCAGATATATGTTGCAGACTTTTCTGACACATATAAATAAGTAGAAAACACAGATTATCTGAAAAAGTCCAAAAAATTGTGCAAAGTAACCCCTTTTGACGGTAGTTTTATTAATATTTATATATGTAATACTCAAAAATGAATGGTGATATTAAAGTTATAATCTTCTTTGTTGTTGTAAAACTTAGAAAAGAAGTTTTAAAAAAATTTAGAGAATATTATTATTTTTTAAAATTAATTTTATTTCATACAAAAAATGTCATTATATTTCCTTCTTTGTCCAACAGTGTTTCTCCATCTCATTTCTTTATAGTATATGCCATAACTCGTTTCCAAAGGTATGCACTTCCTGAGGTTACGAATTTCGGACATATTACATTTTCCAAACAAAATTGCACATTTGCTCAATTAGCTTTAAGTCTTGAGAGTATGGACGCAGGATAGATGCGATTCGGCCTTGCGTCATCATCCAGAAACATAAAATCTTGTTCAAGCGAATCTCTGGTAGGCACACGCAATTTCCTCCCGGTATCGGCGTACTGTCAGCGTCCCATCGATAATGTAAAGTGCTCTACGGTCACCTACGTCAACCCCGGTCCGTATCATGACGCTGCCTCCACCAAAAGCTGATACAAGAACAATGCGTTGAGCTCACAGAATATCGTATGTAATATATCCATTAAATGATCTGTGGTATGAAGCCTAGTGAGTTGGCCACGTATAATCTGTAAAGAATCATTTCTAGGTCAAAATCTGGATTTTCCTGTAGATATTACAGCTGAACCTTTTTGTCCTACCCGAATATACCTCTATACAGGGTTTCCCATTGCTCAATGGCCGAACTATGTGGCTGATTCCAGACAAAATTTCCAACATAAAAATTAATTTAATGCATGGGCCGATTCCGAAAAGAAAAAGAGTTAAGACCAATTTTGTGTTTATCTTAAGGTGGTCACGTTTTTTTTTTTTGAATAAGAAAGAGTTGCTCAAAAACTTTTTAATATAATTAAATTCTAAGTACGCCATCGTAAAGTAGACAAATTTTTCCTTGAGAAAACAGCGATTAAATTTACTAAGATCAATGATAAAAGAGACTTAATAACGCATAGCTTACCATTATGCCAAATTATTTCACGAATCGGGATTACAGAGATATGTGCTCAGATATAGGTATTGTAACTACAGCAATAGAGCGGCCGTATTAGACCTAAAAGTCCCTTTTATCAATGATGTTAGTTAATTTAAACACTTTTCTTTAAAAAAAAAATTAAAAAAAATTATCTACTTAACGGTGGTGTACTTAGAGTTTAATTCCTTCCTATTAAATAAAAACTGCCAACCACCTTTAAAAAAAACAACACAAAATTGGTCTTAACTTCTTTTCCGTTTGGCAAAAAAAAAATCATGCTTCTAATAAACTTTTTGTTGGAAAATTTGTCTTGAACCACCCTTCAGAGTTTGTTCAGTAAGGACTGTGACACACCGCACAGGCAGATCTACGGGGGGGAGGGGGGGAGCTTTCGGGCTGAAGCCCCTCCCAAAATTGTAAAATGTAACCATGTTTTATCCTAAAAAATTATCTCTCAAAGTATTATTGTTCGTGTAATTACATTTAATAGGACTTCAAGAATCACATAAGAACTATTTCATACACTAGCGGATCCAGGATTTAATTTTGGGGGGGGGCTTCAGCCCGAAAGATTTTTTTTCATAAAAATAACGATAATTACTTTGGAAAATAAGAAAGAAACTAACTACCTATATGAACTGTTGTTTAAGTGATTCCTAAAGCCCTTTTAAATGTAATTACACGAATAATTATACTTTAAGAGATCATTTTTTAACATTTTTTTCGATAAAACATGGTTATATTTTACCATTTTTGGGGGGGGGGGCTTCAGCCCGAAAGCCCCCCCCCTCCGTAGATCCGCCCGTGATTTCATATATGTAGCTAGTATCTTTCTTTTTTTTAAGAGTAGTTATCGTTATGTATATGGAAAAAAAGCTTTTGGTCTAAAGCCCTTTCCAAAATAAAATCCTGGATCCGCTAGTGACACACTGATACGCTAGTGTATATCTCTATTCTAGGTGTTAGATATCTTCACAATGTGGTATATTTTTCAAATTAACGTTGATTAAGCCGAAGAAATGTTGATAGACTGGGTGTGAAAGGAAGCCTTAGAAAAATTCATCAACATTACACCGACAAGATTTAGTGAAGAAGATATAAAGAATATTTTTGTGTCGTATCGATATCGAATCTTCGGGTACGCTAAGCACTGTTATCATTATTAACTATTAAATTCTATAATATATTACGACGATTTTTTTTCAATGTATATATCGATTAATCTGACAACAAATTTCTATACATTTAATGTTCAAATAACGTTAATTAACAAAAGAGAAATAATGGTAACATGTTAATTCCAATTAATCATAATTAAATAAAGCATTTAATGATTGAGTACTCACATTAAACGCTTTCAAACGCTCGGGATCATGGGGTATTGACTTGAGGTCGTCTGAGTCATCTTCCAAATCGTCGTCATCATCTTTGTTCCCCGACGAAGAAGTTTCATCATGAGTGGAACCATTTTCGGGAAGCGGGCTCTAAAATAATAAATAAATAATGATATAAAAGTAAAGTAAATAGTAATAATAATTAAAAAGCAAAATATGATTTACGTAAATCTCAAGATCAAAAAAAAAAAAAAATTAAAAAAACGATTCAAATCAAACCTAATTTGTTTTTGTAACCAGAAAGTATTAACTTTGCACGACAGAAATATTCTAATATATTTTATTAATCCGACAAAACACGGATGAAGAAATTTACTTGCCCGACAACATGAAGTTAACTGTACCAAATCATAATCGGTTTAACTCGACTTCAAAAATGATTTTCTAATCCGAGGTATCTCTAACCCCTTCCCCCCATTGTTAACTTCACTACAAAATATAACCATGGATGTAAATTAAAGTATACGATTTACAAACAAGATACAATTTGACCGATTTTATCGCATATAAAATACCATAGTAAAGAAGAAAAAGAACTGACCGCAACATCGATCCATTGAAGCCAAAGATGTTAATTTTTTTTCATTCTTTCTAGATTTTTCACTTTTAAAGTCTTTAATTTCATTTTTTTTTGTATATTTTTATGATTTTGCAATACCTGTTTATATAAAATAATTACTGTGCGTACATAATTTGCCCTCGTATGCATCAAACTTATGTAATGGTATCAACGGTCCTTCCTGCTGGAACGATACTTAGGGAGAAACATTTGTTGAAAGAAGAGGGAACTAAAAGTAATTTTAAAAATTTTCAAATAGTTCCTATTGGAATTCCGTTTAGTTTTCATGGAAACATTTAGTTGATATTCAATAATATAGTTGTATATGAACATTATTAGCTACAACACTAATGAGCCGTTAGATTTTTCCAAATCCATAATTATCATTAACGACTTTTTATGTTAGACATTGTTTTGTCTATCATTTTTAGCTTTCCAACGGTATGTATTACTTTAAAAACCTCTACATTACTTTTCAATCTAGGGAAATACTTTGCCTCCTTAGGTTAATTATCAAATTCTTTCATAAATTATATTTATTGATTTTTTATTGCAGCTAACAATAAAATACAGTTAATTATTTCAAACAAACCAAAATAAAGATACTTTCGAGGAAGAAATTGTTAAAATCTGGTTTTAAGTACTATCAATGATCTAAAGTTGAAACGTATATTTAAATGAGACTATGATCTACCGTATGTCAGAGCCATTTAAATTGTATATTGACAAGAAATTGTAAATTGAGTTTAATTTATTTTTATAAAAACATTTTAACATATATTTCAAATGAATAAAAAAATCAACGATAGAAATATGGCAAAATAATTTAAAAACATGGACCAGTAACTTTTGGTTAACAATGTCACAAAAAGAGGAATTTTGTTAGTTGAAGATAAATAAACTCAATTCAATAGTATTATTTAAAAGTCAGATAAATAATTATATTTTTTAAATGGACATTTTATTTCTTATACCGACATTAAATAATTGTAATAAAAGAAATTGTATTTTATCAATCAATCCATAAAAATAAAACTCAAGTTAGAGAAAAGAATAAATTAAAGCTTTGTAATTATTTTAACTGAAAAAAAAATAGTAATTAGAGGAGAATTTCGCTTACTTGACTTTTTTACGTAATTATCAGTTCATCTTAGTTTTTTTTCTAAATACACCTCAACTTAATTAGCATATATTTAAAGCTTAATAAAGAAAGTGTTCGTAAAGGTGGGAAAGCTTTACACCTATAAAATAGTAGTATTGTATTTTGTAATACTTTTATTAAAATTTATAAAGTTTAATTTAAAGGAAGGGGATGGTCCGGGGTGGCGGTCATAAATAGGCTGAATAGAGGCAAAACTATTTTATTAAAAGCCCTTTTTGGTTTTTAATAAAATAGTTTTGCCATTATTTAGCCTATTTATGACCGCCACCCCGGAACATCTCCTTCCTTTATAATGCAACGGACAACCATTAAATATTCAATATGATTTATAATTTAATTAATATATATTTTCATTAAGTTTCTAATTAATATGTCGTTACTTTTTAATTAATATTTAGATAAGTTTTAAAAAACAGATAATGCTTACGTAGCTTCCCTATTTCCTCCAATTACATTATTCTTGATCATAATTATCAATATGAAAGGAATAAAACCTAATTATTATCCTAATATCCTTATCACTCAATACATATTATTCAGTAATAAATTTGATAAAATTAGATAATGCAATAACAAGATCATGGTTACGATTATTCCTGTTTTTGTAAATGAAATTGAAATTATTAAATAGTTCCTCCGAGCTCGGGTTGACCAGTTCGGCGATTGCCGAGGGCACCTGACTTTACAAAAGAAAAACAAATTTATATTTTTTATTAATCAGGTTTTCTATAATTGTTTATTCGAATATTTTATAAATATCTCTGGTTATATTTTAAACTTTCCTGAGAAGTGTATGCGTGAAATATTAGTTTATAGCTAAGGCTACTTATGTATTTAAATTGTATATAATTGATGTGAACGTTTCCTTCTCTTGAAGAGGAGAAGAACGGTTGGGGCGATCAGTAAAAAAGAAATAAAAAGATTGCAAAAATAAATAATTATATTTATTTTTATTTTTTGCCGACTTTTCGGCCCAAAGTTTAGGCCTTCATCATGGCTAAAAAAAAAACCAGATAATAATGGGTACGAGAAACCATAAACATTGATGAACAGAGAATCAAAATTGGAAAAGTGAAGGCATAGACTAAAAAATGTAGGTACAATAAAGTTAAAGTAAAATAAAGTAGATAGAGTGAAGATTAAAGTGAAATAAATAAGGTAAAATAATAAAAGTAACATAGAAATATGAAATAAATAATAACGGCAGCAAAGTGGAGACTAATGAATATAATTTGTGTTGCCCAAATGAGAGACCGAGACGAGTCTTGGTCTTGCAAACTCAGTCTTGGTCATGGTCTTGGTCTTGCGCAAGACTCTCGCAACAGTCTTGCAGTTACTTGTTAGCTTATTACTATAGATATATTACTGTATTTTTTTAGATAGGAGAAACCTAAGTAAGCCCGAATGAAAAATTAGAGGAGTTAAATGCAAAAGTATATTGGTTATACCAATTATTAACATATAGTAACTAAGATTGTCAAGTATTAGTAACTATTTTGCCTTAATTTTTATTTAAAAATCGATTTTTTTTTACCAGTCCTGGTCTTGGTCTTGCAACAGTTAAGCGGCCTTGGTCTTGGTCTTGCAAAGTGCAAGACCAAGACCGATTTTGGGCAACACTAAACATAATCAAAATAAGGTAACATAAGAATTGAAAAATGAATTAACGACGAAAAGTAGTGAAATGTATAAGATAATAAACGTAAGTGTTCTTCTTTTGATTATAAAAACGTAATCGTCGGTAAAGATAGGTTTGCTTTTTTTAATTATTTTTCTTGTTTCTTGGCTTAATCATTATAGTTTTCCCGCTATTAATTTTTTTCCTATCAGGTAATGCAATGAGATTAAGATCATGACTTTTGTGCGTTAGAATTTTAGATATATTATAAAAAATAATATAAAAATATACCGAAAAATATAATAAACGAAAACAGGAAAGCGTGATTTTCTATCAATACATTGCCTTTACTAGAATATTTTTGAATGTCTGTAACAGCGGAAATTGTGGTTTTCATTTGAGTAAATTTGGAATGTTTTTCCGGAGAACTTCCATCCCCCTCTCAAGGGCCCTACCCCCTCCACCCCCCCTCCCCTCCGAGTTCCTAACCGAGGGTGCTCGAGTTTCTTATCGATATCGGACACAAATATCTCTTCCTAACCGCATATTTTTCGTGAATACGCTGCATCATACAAAATAAAATGGAAAATAAACAATATATATAGTTCATAATGGTGTAGAGATGGTTGACCGTCATTTGACCGCACCCCTCCCCCCCCCCCCCGACCAACTCCTTCTCATAATATATATAGTTATGTAATATACGACTATAGAAATAAGAAACTGCCATTTTAAAATAATAGAAGGTTATTTTGCGGGTATAGACTTTTAGGTGTTCATATAGACAACACGAAGGCAAAAGGGTCTATTCCAAAAAAAAAAAAAAAAAAAAAATAATTAACCTTATTCATTCACTTGATAAAGCTAAGCAACTAATTCAATATGAAATGATCGCATATATATATATATATTTTTTTTTTTATTACTGATATTTCGAAATGTTTTACTACAATGCTATAGAAACAAACGTTTGATATTAGTTTATGGTTATTTATTGATTTAAATAGTGAATAATTTTTTATTAGTGAATAAATAGTTAGCAATGAAAAACTTCCATTATAATTTGTTATTGTTATATTTCATAACTAGCGTTGCCGAAATGTGAGACTAAGACGAGTCTTGGTCTTGCACAACATTCTTGCAGTTACCTATTAGCCTATTACTATAGAGATATTACTGTAATTTTTCAGATAGGGAAAACCTAACTAAGCCCGAATGAAAGATTGAAAGAGTTTAATGCAAAAGTATATTGGTTATACCAATTCTTTACATTCAGTAAATAAAATTGTTATTAGTAACTACTTTGCCTTAATTTGTATTCACAAAAACGTTATATATATATATATATATATATATATATATATATTTCATTTAATTTTTTTTTTTTATCAGTCTTGGTCAACACTGTTCATAACATATCTTCCTGACGTTTCGGTATTTTATCCCATCTTCAGAACTATTTTTCATTAAAATTCCATTTCTGAAATACATGTATGATTACAAGGTACACGTTGCTATTAGTTAGATATATCAAAATTTACATAACGTATTTATCAACTTGACATTTACGCTCAAATTGTCTTATAAATGTTATCAAATTTTCATACTTTTTAGCTGATTCTAAACCTAACCAACAATTGGTCAGCTTAGAGAAACAGAAACCTCAGGAAGATTTGATATAAAATATATAATATTAGCAAATTATAATGTAAGTTTTTCATTTCCAAGCTTTTAATAAATTATATAAACTTCCCAACTAAATTAAGAAAAAGAAGATTTCTCCTTTTGTTTGTAAAAACGTAATCATAGTTAAAGATAGGTTTATTTTTTTTCTTGGCTTTATCATTACAGTTTTCCCCTAATTATTATTATTTTTTCAACAGGTATTGCAATTAGATTATGACTTTAGCTTTAGTGTGTTATAAGTTTAGATATATTCTTTCTTTTATAGTGTATAAAATAAAAAGATAAAATATATATTACCGATAGCTCTCTCGACTGTGGAGTACCAGGTTTCTTGCTAATCGAATAGCACCAATCCTCTCTTTCTTCTTTTACTTCACCATTTTTACCTGAAAACGACCATCATGAAAGAGTATTCAAATGTGACATAAGAAGATTTACACTACTATCCATCATTATATATTTTCTAATAAATAATGTCGAGGAATGACGTACCTGAGCTATAATCTTCATTATCTAAGTCAGGTGAAATTCGCATCTCCTAAAAGTATAAATGAAATCAGCTGAGTACCCAAATTAAGTTAATCAGTAAAATAACTTTAGATTACAGTTAAATGGAAAATAATAAAAGTTGGATTGTGGGATCTCAGCGCACAATAATTAAAGTATGAATAATAGATGAAATAGATGGATCCTAACATTAGCCCAACAAGGGGTTGAAGACCTCTCAACCCCCTGATGCCAAAATTAAAGTTATTTTTCAAAATTAAAATTAAATCACTTTATTTACTTGCGGATTTAAATTTATATTTTGAGTAAATTTCTTTCTATTCTACATCGCAAAATGAATAATAAATATAATTAATTACAAATTAAATAATTAAATATATACATTTTTATACAAAACCAAGCCACCTGTGATAGAAACCCTGGTTGCACTACCGCATCCAAATGAAGGGGCGTCTCGTGACAATATTCTACTTGAAATGATTTCTGATAGCCAATGCCATAACTTTATAAAATAATGCACTGAGTTCATTCCTACAAAGCTATAGCTGTGTTAGGTAAAGAAAAGGTCTCATTATATTACTTTTATCTCTTTTCTCTCCTAACAATATTAGAAGTGATATTTTCATTATAATATTTTCATTATATTTGTAGGTCAAAAGAGACTAATGTTGTTGGAAATGATATACTGACAGTCATAATGATTTTGGTACCAAACTGCAAATCCGTTAAGAACTTCCATTAAGTATACTTTAATGTTGAAATTAATTCCAAACAATTCATAATATTGGGCTTTACAAAATATAACGGATTTATGCTTCTGAGTGGTTTACAGTTTAGATAAGTTGACTACGGATTGTACTAGACAAGATGTCTTTCGCTAGCTATGTAAACAAGTAAGAAGAACACGCTGGTTGTTTTAAAATGTCTGGATCCAGTTTGGCCTGGTTTATTGTTAAAGATTTGGAGCCTGTTGCTTGTAGTTTCGGATAGCGGCCGGCGAGGAGAATCGATATTAGGGCACACCTACCCCTCGTTGCCAGGGGTAGCCCCCACCTCGGCCCTGTGTGCTTGTGTGTGTGTGTGGTGTGGTGTGTTTGTGTCGTGTCTGTGTGTCTATGTGTGCATGTGTCTGTGGCGTTTGTATGTGTGTCTGTGTGTCTATCTGTCCATGTGTCTGTGGTGAGTGTGTGTGTGTGTGTGTGTGTGTGTGTGTGTGTATGTTCTTGCGTGTATGTGTGGTCTGCTATCGAGCGCTACTGTCCACTCAACCTCCATAAAAAGCTCTATTTCCTGGAGCATCTTCCTGGTCCTTATCTGTTTGGTTTTCTATTTGGATTTAGTAGTAAAAAAAAAAGGAATCCTCTCTCTACTCTATTTGGGAACCTTTTCTTACTTATATAAAATTTCTTAAAATATCGGTTAAAGTTGAATGAAATTATTTTCAGATAGTCATAATGTGATTGACCTTCGCATGCATTTTTGCTATTATTTTGATAGAGGCTGTGTCAGTAAGTATTTTCTTCTGAGAATACTTCAACTTTATTTTTACAAAAGGTGAAGTAACCGTATTACCTTTTAGCAGGTAAAAGGATAGTTTCGTAAAAAAATTGCTATTAATTTTAAAAACTGAAAGGAACTGATGTAAGGAGAATGATCGATTATATACTTAATTTTATTAATGATTTCTATTGATTCATGCTCCTAATCTTTAGCTAATATTATTACTTATATTCCTCATAGTCTCTGTTTTCTAAAAAGAAACTGTCATTCAAAAATAAGGGTTGAATATGTCAAATGCCGAATTGCCAGCAGTCGTCTGGGGCTGTTTGGGAAAACAATAAACAAATTCAATCTTAAAATAATTATATGCAGAAATATTTATGTTTTAGATTTAGAAACAATTTTTTTTTTCAATTTAGTATGACTAACAAATTCCATTTAATTACTTTTTATATCTTATATTCTCATTTTTCCTTATCCTACTGACTCGCATTACCTGGTACTTGTTAATTAAATGTAATTTGATTTTGACAACGTATTTTAAAGATAAGCCATTATATTATTGTATAACACATAAAAAAAAAAAAATCATTGGCATAAGACGTTTCTGACACAATCAGACACTTGATCTTTCCAGTTCAACCAAACGAAATTTTCAACTTATAGTTAACTAAAAAAGTAAGCAGTTTACATAAGTAATGTTATATACGATCAAAACACAACGATATATTGTTATATATATCTGTAGATAAATGAAATTTTACTATCATTTCAAAAATCTCAAGTCAGCTCTTGAAAAATTGTATATACAAACACTAATATTTATAGTATAATATAATATTTATAACTATTTTAAACATAAATACAACAACAAGTTACCAAGTATTGAAGAATATTAAATAGTATCAGTCCAAATAAGCAAATCGCTGAATGAATGAATTACACTCATTTCGTCAAGCTCAATCAAAACAAGCATTTATTTTAGCGCCACAGTCATTCGTTTTTAAATTAAACACAAATATTCGATCACAAATCTATTCACATTAATAAATAATTACCATGTTATACGATTCAAATAAAAATATATTGGAAAATCATATAAAAATTTCGTGATTTATTTTATTATCGATATTTTATGACTTTGTCAATGAATATTCTTTATGTACAGTATTGAAGTTTAATACAATCATTATTTGAAATAATTCCCTACAATATAGTCTAATATTCTATATCATTTTTTATTAAATTAAGTAAAATATTTTAAACCAAATAATTATAAACCATTGAGGTTAGTTTTATCACAATAAAAGTACAGGAAATTGCTATAGGATATTTAGTAAAAACATTCACACTAATAAAAAATTAGGATTTACTACGAAAATTCTCACATTTCTATGCGAATTATCTCTTTTTATTATTAAATATACGCAAGGACACCCGTTAACTGTTAATATTGTCCAAAATATGGATTTCTCAGTATTTATTAACAATTATAAATGATGTTTTACCAAAAAAAAAACTATATAATAAAATAACCGTACGAATTTTGATTAGTTTAATATTTAAAAAATTGAAATTGGCGCCTAAACTATTGTGAATTATTGGATTATAGAAATAAAAAAAAATTAATAAATATAAGTACGTACACACACACACCAACATACATACATCGCTGCACATACATATATTTATGTACACGAAAATTAATATCTATGTGTGTGTATGTATATATATATATATATATATATATATAATCTGTGTGTATATGGTAAAAGCTACTCTGAGTATCGAGTATCGAGTATCAAGCATTTTACTCAAATTTAATCACGATTGGGAATTCAATCACTACTTCAGTCCATCGTTTGACATCAATTGAAGTAGTAATTAAATTCTTTTGTACTCAAAAAAAGGTCAGTATTTGAGTAAAGTACTCAGTACTCAGTACTCAGACTAGCATTTGCCCATCTAACTTAGATTTTAAATAAAATATCCTCTACTTAGTAATAATAATTACGTAATGAGTCTGCAGTACCTTTGTAGCAGTACCTAATCGAGTATTATGATGGGTCGACAGCTTTTCTATTTATTACAATTAATAAATAACCTAGATGAAATGTGACTTTAATATCATTTAACTTTTTGAAACTGCGCCTTGAATCTCCATCGCTGAATCGTCGGTTAATGTCTAAAGTGTTTCTGAACATTATTAATGTGATTTGAGATAAGGAAATTAAAATAATTGTACCTTAGGCTTGGTCTTGGACGACATGGTTCCATCTCAGACTTGTGGGCGACTGTCGAGTGTTGGCCGAGTGGCAGTGGTGCCAACCGCCCGCCCCCAACTCTCCCCCGTCCTAATGAATTAAATATCCCGTATCGACCCCTCACCCTCCTTCGTCTCACTCTCTCCCTCTTCATAACCGACAATTTTCCGCCGATTCTCTACTTTCACAATATTTCCTTTCGCCCATTTTTATTTGTTTGATTGATATAACGGAAGGTATAATCAAAATATATCAGTTTGATAATTGATCAAGGCGTGAAATTATTTAGGGAGCGGGGTAGCTCAGCGGTTAAGGTACCGACTTCCTATGCTCAAGATACTGGGTTCGAATCCGCCTGATGATATGTAATTATTTACTCCGTCAAATCTAGTGTTGCCCAAAATCGGTCTTGGTCTTGCACTTTGCAGGACAAGACCAAGGCCGCCTAACTGTTGCAAGACCAAGACCAGGACTGGTAAAAAAAAACAAAACGATTATTTTAATAAAAACTAAGGCAAAATAGTCACTAATAATTGACAATCTTAGTTACTATGTGTTAATAATTGGTATAACCAATATACTTTTGCATTTAATTCCTCTAATTTTTTATTCGGGCTTAATTAGGTTTCTTCTATCTAAAAAATCACAGTAATATCTGTATATTAATAAGCTAATAAGTAACTGCGAGACTCTTGACCAAGACCATGACCAAAACTGAGTTTGCAAGACCAAGACTCGGCTCGGTCTCGCATTTGGTCAACAATAGTCACATCAGCCGTGGAATGGATCCTGAGATCGGGAGACCCTCCTATGGCACACAATAGGAGCTTTAACTTGGACAATTGGAGTGCTACCAGTGGGTAGTTTCTCTTCATGTTGTACATGTCATGTTAATCGTTTCAAATTTACTTGTTGCGTTTATCATTTATACAATTGTAAATTTCAAAAATAAAAAAACAACAAAAAACTTGGAGAGTAAAACAGACAAAAACATTTTTCTTTAAGAAAAAGAGATAAATTAGAAACGTGCAGTACATCTGCTATATATATATAGATTTTGAGAAGGCTTGTGATTCTAATGACCGCCGAAACGAGAATTAATAAATTAAGGAATTAATATAATGTAATATAAGGAATTAATATAACCGTTTTTTTTTTCAAAATGGTGTTACTTTTTTATTTGTTTTAATATACTTTCACCGAATATATTGTATATATTCTTTAATTTTAATGGATGTAATTTTTGGCCAGATGTGGTTTTTATTTTTTGTTCATAATTGTTATTCTTAAGGGACCTCGTCCCAGTTTATTTCTATCATATTCTATTCTAATAAGGATGTTCAGATAGGAAACATTTAATAAATGTTATAACTGTAATTATTATTTAATAAATATAGGTATTCTATAAAAGAGAGCTATTCCTTTCCACAGGTTTTATTGAATTTAGTGATCGAATTAGTCATTATTATAAAATTATTTAGGATAAGGAAAAGTATAACCCAAGAAGGGAGGTGTAAAATACTCGTATTTACCTAGAGTGCTGACCTTTGCCCTCAATGACGTCATCGCCTCCAAATTAAATTAAATTTACACATCAAGCTGTTTTAAATTAAGCAATATATAAATTGTATCATTCTAGATATCTCTAATTTAGTTGCTTTATTAATAGACTAAAATTAATTATTCCCGTAAGCTTTGAATTTTTTTTTAGTTCCTGAAAATTGGTGTATTCCCGTGTTGCAATGCCCTAAGGCCTAAGCAGAACTGCTGACATATGTTGATTTATTGGTAAGAAGAAGTTATAGAATTAAATTCAATAAGCTTGAAGAATAAATTTACTTACATAAGTATTATTAAACAAAATAAAGGTAGTCCAGTCAATGAATGGTAACAGAAGGAAATGGTGGGGACACAATTTTTGACTTTGGGACATTGTTCGGAATAGTACGGAGGTAAACATACTAAAAGCCCCCACTCCTATATGGTGAGCCAGATGTGGGGGGCACTTTTTTTCGGATTTTCGCTGATATCAGGAAAACAATCCATCCCATCGACCAAGAGGTTATATACAAAATTAAAGCTGACAAAATTTGCAATATGGTTGATCTTATGACTTTTTTGAGCACCTCAATTAGTTTCCGAGATATTCGTCCTCAAATATCGCTAATATTGAAAAAAAAAAATTCCTGGGTTTTATAGCTGTTTTACGAGTTTTAGCTTATATTAGGAGAATTATCCACCGAATCGACAAAGACGTTCTATATTTATTAGTGGTCGCACTGACCTAACATGGCAGAGTGATTTCTTTAATTTAGTTAGTTTTCGGTCACTGAGATTCCACATTTGGCTTAATTTGATCATAATTAGCCTTTTATTAAAGCTGGATAATGCGAGAATAATAAAACATGTTGAAAAATAATCGACCTTGGCAATAAAAAACACCAGTAAAGTCATTTTTTTCAAGTCATTCAAACTAAAGTTAAAAATCAAACTAAAAAAAAGTTTGAAATTTCAATGGTTTTTTGGAGCACTGCAGCGAACCCACAAGGCTTTCAAGGGCCGAAAATTAGATTTTTCATATTCACAACACACGTAACAATATAACAAAGAAATTTGAAATTTGACTTTTGCAAGGTAGGCCTCTTATTTTGTGCTTATTTGACTGGGCTATCTTTCCTATTCTAAAATAAAGTCCAATCAGGTGGACCAACTCGACCGTATTCTTTAAAGTTTACGATTGTCAAATGGTAGAAGCTCAGCCGGAATAAGGATTTTTCCTAGAATGCCAAACTTAATTTTGCCACCCTTTCTTTCAACCCTCTCCTTCCGATAAAATTCTATAGTTTTATAAGAGTATTTTTCGTGACGAACCATCACCAAATATTATAAATTAGAGTACCCAAATATGAAACCTTATCATTCCTTCTGCAGAAATACGATGAGCAGTTCTGATATCTTCGAATGACGAGGAGTTACCAACCTCCTTCCTACCTCAGTGAGCTACAGATTGTAAGCTGAGTAGGAAATGACTTGCATAACTAGAAGGGATAAAAAAAAATCTTGAATTTTTTTATTCAAAAGAATTAAGGTCAGAATCTCACATTTTTTAGAAAAATAAAAGACATTATAAGACTTGTATTTATCTGAGAAAAATAATAAAGGATAAAAAAATCAGATAAATATATTGAAGTCATTATGTGACTTGAAGTCGTGGTGGCCGAACATGTTGAGGCGTTACCTGCTTTAACATTTTTGAGTCTAGCGAGGCCGATACGAATCCTGGACGAGTTGAAATTTGTTTCATGGAGGACCCAAGCAATTAATCTCATCAACCTTCCCACTTTGGTTAAAATAGGTGTGGTTGTACCACTAGAACAACCCCCTTCCCCGTAAGCAATAAATGGCTAGGTGGGGGGTAATCGAAAAAAGTCTTAATTTGATTTTTAAATTTAAAATAAAAGGTAATGTTAAATTTTAATTATTTTACAGAAGATGTAAAAGTTTCTGTTTCATATTTCTTCAACATAAAGGTTCTTTATTAGGTTTTGAAGCCAATTTTAAGATTGCACAACCGCGTATCGATCTATTGTAAATTTTCGAATTTCTTCGATGTTTCATTACCATGTTATCGGAGGAGCTTTTTAGGAAATAGCTTCACAATTAGATCTATATAAATTAGTTTTTAATATCACGCAAGTGTGTGTCGATTTACTTTAACTTTTCTGATTTATTCTATTTATACTAAGGCTTTTTTTTTTTTTTTTTTTTCAGAGACTTACAATTTGAAAATTATATCGATTTAATGATTGCGTCATCGCCTAACGAGGTATTTCAGTATCCTATCGATTTGAAGGTTGCGCAATCATTTATCGATTTATTTGAATTTCTGTCATTACTTCAGTATAAGGGTCTATTTTTATGTTAAAGTGACGCTGATTATGAAAATACTATCGGTTTAAAGATTGCGTAATCTTGTATACATTTAATTTCGAATAACATTTTTCAGAAGGCGAATTTTTAACAATATCGATTTTAAGATTCCCTGCTCGCATATATTTAGGATTTTCTTTTTTGTTTTCTTGAATTTTAGGTTACATTATTATTAATTTATATTTGACAAGATGTTAGTAGATTTTTCGGATGGGGTTATCATTATTTCTCAATGCTTCCCTTTGTCCTAAAAAAAAAATCAGATATCTGATTTCTCACTATTCATCTCACAGCAAATATCAAAAACTAGCCAAATTTTCAAAAATAAAAGTAGGAAACTAGCAAATTAGTTATTAAAAAATGTATCATAGTTTAAAAAAAAAAAATCATCAAACAAGATAATATCATTGTCGATTCAGGGCCAGGATTTTCTCAGGAAGGGTTTAATTTGGAAACCTTTTATTTTCCTTTTAATTAAATAGTCATGTTTTATGATGGTGATTTAGCATATCATAACACAAACTCATTTTAATGAATGAATTAAGATTAAAAAAATTTAAAAAGTATTAACAAATATTTTTTTATTTAACCTAAAAAAACAAACAAATTCGTTCGAAATTCGCCGCCTCCTAAATTCGGCCATCCAGGGCAAGTATTTTTACTCCTCTCTAATAACGGTCTTGTAGCAATATTATTAAATAATATATAAAACTTGACTTATTGATTTGCGTTTTGTTAATTAATTTTTAACTAGAGTCGTAAAGTTTGACATATATATCGGAACTCCCTAATTAATAATATTTCCGAAGTTTCCAATACCCGTTTCCATTTTTGTAAAATTAATATTATTTATAAATTCTTAACAAACGTCTTTGTTATTATATATTTGACATTTTGTTTTACGAAGATGCATGGTTATATTTTTTCATCCAAGAAGCTTATTTTATTTCTAAATTTAAAATATTATTAATTACATGATTAAAATTAGTCTAGTAAAATCTTAGAAGCAAGGAAAAAAATTCGGGTAGTCGGTGTCTCTGCGGTTCTATTTTTTTTTTCGGTTTGTGTTTTTGGTATGGATTGAAAAAAAAAAAAAAAAACCTTACCGAATATCTGGAAAGGCTTCAATTTCCAGATATTCGGTAAGGTTTGCTCAACTTCTTTTTTTTTTTTTTTTTTTTTTTTTTTTTTTTCACCGCAACTATACATTTTATCGAACAGACAACTCTATTGCAAATTAAAATAGGTAAAATTTAGAATATATATTCTTATTTGTAGTTTTGGAATGCCGAACAGCTGGTCAGGTTCAGTGATTTTCAAAGCTTTAGTAATGTTTATTTTTATCGGATACATTATCCACGGTCATAATGACTGATCAGTCGTAATGATTCATTCGATGAACGATCGAGTGATAAAGGATCAGTTTTCTAAGTAGCCGGTTCTGTTATCAGATTGGTAGATCTAATGCGAAATTCCACAAAAAATAATTTGTTGTCATCGTATCTGTATCTAACTGGTTTCTTTACTCAAATAGTAATTTACCTAGTTAAAAAAAACCCTGTGTAGTTATAGTATATAGTTATAACAAATGTACATATATAAGGTTACATTTATTCAATTATAAAAACATTTTTATTGATTGCTTAAGATTGTACTTTTACAATTTGTTTTCTTTTGAATGTATGTTTGTACTTAGTATATCATTATTTTGTATTAACTAAATAAAAAATAATTATAGTCACTTGAATTTCAATATTTTCGTGAGTTAAATCTTCAATGACAAATGTAATTAAAAACAATCTTTAGAAGTTCAAACATTTATTATCTTCAGGAGCTCATTATTTCTTCGGACGATTTACATAATGAAATCAACTTATTAACAAATGATTGAGAGGTTTATGTATATAAACCAATTTTTATCAAATGTCGTAGGATTTACAAACAGGGCCAATTAATGCCGAGCACGTTCTACCCCAGATTTAGGCAAAATATATAATCAAACTATATAGCTCTAAATGAAAAAGTGTGAAAAACTATTTGATTGTTGGAATTAATTAATTATATATTATGCGTTTTTCAAATCGGACTTAAATTATGAGATTATTGGTACTGGTACTGGTGGGAGGAACCAATCCGGCAAGTGCTCTTTGAGGTTTTTTTTTGTCAAACTCCGACGGCTACTTCAAGGCGTAATTACCAGAGTGGGAGTTTCAAGATTCATTTCCTCGGAGCCGAACACTGGGACGAGCTAACGCTGTTGTTGGACATTGGGAGAAAAAACAAAAGTTAAAATTTAGAATTTTTACCGCATTAGTCACAAACTAGCATCCTTTTCACGTCATACCCAGCAACTTTTAACTTAATTTGTGTATTAATGATGCCCTAATGTAAGATAATAGGAGAAGGAATGAAAACCATCTTTTTTATATTTAGAGCTGGGCAGAATTAGGTTTAGAAAAAGCCTAAACCAGAATCAGAAAAATTACACCTAGCCACCAGAAATTCAAAATTGAATTGCCAAAAACAACTACCCACTTCATCAAACAATAAACTTCTACAGCGACCATCCTCATCAGGACTCTAGAGAATCTTAGTCCCAAACCACTATCTAGAAAGAGAATCCTCGCCGGGAAGCATAGTTAGGTTAGTATAATATAGTTAACGTTTAATTTCATAGCATTCGTCCACTTTGAATCCGTAAGAATCTTTTGTCAGACATAAACATGTTAACGCATTGGTTTGACTTAATAGAATGTTATTCAAAAAATAGAAATGGTAAAGAAGCTATACTGACCGTACTTGGGTTGACACTTTTTTTGAACTTTCATAGTTTAATTTTAATAATTATAAAATTATGTAACATTTTACATTACAACTTAACAAGTCAAGGATATTTACTTAAAGGCAAGATTCCTATATTTTTTTTATATAATCAACTGCTATTTATGAGTTTTAACCTATGAGTTATTTTAACTGGAAATAATTAAACCTGTACAACCCATGAAGGGTCTTGGGTTCAGTACAATGCACTAGCGGATCCAGGAATTAATTTTTTTGGGAGGGAGGCTTCAGCCTGAAAGTTTTTTTTTTTTAATTTAACGAAAATTACTTTTGAAGAAAAATAAAGAAACTAAGTACCTATACGAAATAGTGTTTTAATGATTCTTGAAGTCCTATTAAATGTAATTACACGAACAATAATACTTTTAGAGATCATCTTTTAATCTTGTTTTCTCAAGACATGGTAATATTATACCATTTTGAGGGGAGGGAGGAGGCTTCAGCCCGAAAGATTTTTTTTTCTTTAAATATAACGAAAGTTACTTTGGAAGAAAAAGAAAGAAACTAAGTACCTTATACGAAATGGTGTTTAAATGATTTTTGAAGTCTTTAATAGGACTTCAAAAATCATTTAAACACCATTTCGTATAGGGACTCGTGGTTTCTTTCTTTTTATTGGAATGTAATTTTTGTTATATTTAAAAAAAAAAAGCTTTCGGGTTGAAGGCCTCTCTCCCCCTCCCCCCAAAAATGGTAAAATATCATCTTGTCTTGTGAAAGAAAGATAAAAAAATGATCTCTAAAAGTATTATTGTTCGTGTAATTACATTTAATAGGACATCAAGAATCATTTAAACACCATTTCGTATAGGGACTCGTAGTTTCTTTCTTTTTATTGGAATGTAATTTTTGTTATATTAAAAAAAAAAAAAGTTTTCGGGTTGAAGGCCTCTCTCTCCCCCCTCCTCGAAAAAATTGTAAAATATTACCATGTCTTGTGAAAAAAGATAAAAAAATTATCTCTAAACGTATTACTGTTCGTGTAATTAGATTTAATAGGTCTTCAGAAATCATTTAAACACCATTAAGAGATAATTTTTTTATCTTTTTTTCTCAAGACAGGGTAATATTATACCATTTTTGGGGGAGGGAGGGGGGAGGCTTCAGCCCGAAAGCCCCTCTCCCCCGTAGATCCGCCTATGGTACAATGTGAGGAAGTACTATTTCGAGGCCAACGGTTGTGCAGGGAGGTGACGGGCCGATGTCACGCTCAACCGCCATTTTTTCTACCTTAATTAATTATTTAATTAATACTTCCTACTGAGCTACCCCGCTCTCTAGAAAATTAAATGCATTTATAAATTTTAATGACAATTTAAAAAATTATATTTCATCAGTTGTTTTTTTTTAAACCTTGGACACATTGTCGTCCGTCGTGTCGCGACGATCCAAACGGGGTCGTGAAACCAGGCTCGACAAGAGGGGGAGTGATCCGGGGTTGCAGCACCGGGACTCGGACCTAGCTCGGAGAGAGCTCTGCATGGTCTACACGTTTTATTTTTAAACTTCTAAATTCACCTTTAATTAAGGTATATATGACGTTACATATACTTTATAATAAGCATGTAATATCAATAAATAATATTTTTGTTGCGTACTTCAGAAAATGTTGAATTTTAATATTTGAGGGGGCTTAAAAATCATACGGTCTCGAGGAACTTATCCTTAGGACCCTTAGATTCTATCGACGGCCCTGCGCGAAACGGGGGAGAGCACGATGGTTTTTTCGATCGCTCCTTCCCCAGCCCGTTTTACGACTGTCACCCTCACTAACGACAATTCAAACGGGTTCGTGTAAAAGACGAGATTTCTGCACCTGATTTTCGCAATGAAAGTAGAGAAAGTTTTTATTTATTATTTAATTTGTTATTAAAGATAATTACATTATTATTAATATTATTATGTAGTGTCGAATGTTTAAATTTGTTTATGCTGATTTGTATCAATGAAATGCAGTTTTAGCTCTAGAACCACTTCAAAAACGTTGTCCAGTCTGCAACTGTCTCCAATGGAACCTGTTTCGTAGCCCCTTTGCAGTTTGCGCATTTTAAAGCGTTACAATTTACCGCCGTGAATTGAACTACGTGCAGCCTACGAGGATCAATTGGTTACTAAGGAACTCATCAGTAACATAATTTCAATCTAAAAGCTTGATTTAAACGTCTTATATATACAGATGACTTTATTATTCGGTTTGCTAGTAAAAACATCAAAGCTCACCATACATACATTCTAAAAATAATGAGCCTCCAATCAAACCCAATTCCTATAATGGTTTTATAGTCATAGTGACAACCAGTACCATCTTTAAAAAAAAATACAAAGAATTTGTGTAAATTAATTTTAGCTAATTAATTAATTAATTAATTGAATTAGAGACAAATTTAATAGAATACAATTTGAATGTAATAATTTTTTTATTTTTTTAGAGAAACGTTAGGGCGCTACAAGGAGATCCAGATGTTTAAGTCATACAGCTCTAGGACGAGAATTTTCAGAAAAAATATATGAATCCGCCTTGAGAAAAACTCTTCGTCACCAAAGCCGAAAACGCAGTGTGTTTAGAAAATGAGAATGGACCTCAATTGAAAAAACTGATTCTATCTTGTAGAAATTAAACCTCTGCCTCAGGATGTTTATAATACGTGATTACCTCCATCAGCATTGCACAAAATGGGAGTTGTGGGATGTTCTATATACCCACTTAGTCATTGAGAAGATACGAATGTTTCATACTTTGTCCAAAAAAATTAAATAACTTACCCTAGGATCGGGAATCCTTATGATGATTTCTTCGTCTGTAGATGTTGGCGATTCTCCGTTCTCTTCTTCTGTGGTGGATCCAGCTCGAAAATGATTATCCTCTGGACTGTCGACTGTTGGTGGTGTGCAAGCTGGCACTGAAAGTCGGATGACGCAAGATCGCGTCGTCAGGTTTATTGGCACGTACTCATCTGCCCTCAGCCTCTTCGGGGTGGAGGATGAACACTCCGAGTCGACTCGACGCCGACAGTCTGCACATCCCAGGAGGAATCTCGTCACTGCCTCGCGGGGAAGGAAAGCAAATCTTTCCGAAACCTTTAGCAAACCAAAGTTATTTTACTCATCTACATTTAAACATATATACTGTCGGTTTATTGCAAAAAGTTGTTAGGTAACATTTTATAGGACTAAATCATTAAGTACCTCGATGAATTGTCTCTCTATTAAAGGAGAATATTGCATACTTAGTGTAAGTATTTTTTGTGAATAAAAGGTCTGTCACATTTTAATGCACTTAGCGCGAATTAAAAAAAATTCAAAATAAAAAAAAAACATTTAATAGTTTAGATCCATCACAAATGCACTTGTCACATCTTGTAATCAACCGACGATATAATAGATTATTTTGATTTATTTTTCCTCGTTGTTATAAAGCAACGATTAGATAATAATTGATTATAAGAACATATTCAATCAAATACATTTTTTTAAATTTGTTTATCTAGTGTTTATTCACACCATATTTGCAATAAATTAAACGGAATAACAGCAAAATAATAAGATTTATGTGTATATATACAGGGTGTTTCAGGGTTAAGTGGCTAAACTAAAAATACGAAAACCGTATACAAACACCATATAGGTATATTGACCATTAGTATAAATGGGAGGCATAATGATGAGTACTCTGCGAAAGCCTCTTACAAACGGATAAATGTTATTGAGAGTTTCCAATATGCTAATTCGAAATAGCATTAATCCTTATGTTACCAATAGTTTTTCTACAATTAGGGACAAAAGGTCATATTAGTATTCATACCTTCATAGACATACCTTCACTTTGAACATTATTAATATGAATGTTAATGTTTACATTTAATTACGTATAAATTAACCTAAATAATTACCAACAACGAAAATCTTTAGGTGTGAATATTTCTTAAACAAAGCGTTTGCGGACATACCTTCAGAGGAAATTTTTTTCTTGTTTTGAGGTCCTTAGTTCATTTTTTCAGTTTGGCCACCAAACCCGTATTATAAATACACAGGGTGTCCCGTAAGTAGAAGAAAATATTTAAAAGGTTGATAGTGGACATTAAAATCTACAACAAAGTTCATACAAACAGCTGCCTATTTCCAAGCAAAAAAGTAGAAAATTTAAGATTCGTCTATTTTTTTTTTTTTTTGTGACTTATGTTTTTTGTTTAATAGGAAAATTATTTAAAAAGGACTATTGAGCGGACAAACACAGCTAAGTTGCGTTAAAAAAAAGTCATAACTTATTTGTGATTTTTTTTTTTTTTATCGCCTTTCAACTGTACTATGATTTTAGAAAAACTTTCTCGTTTAATAAGCTTCAAGTACATATTAATTAACGTTGAGGTTCGTTAGGAAACATTTTGGGATTCACATTAAGTTATGTAAAGAAATTATGTGATTTTCTATCTAGTCACCTAAAAGTACCCTTGTTTTCAGGAAAAATTACAACAATTAACAAGTTGAAAAGTTTTTATTAATTGTTTTCCGCGTTATGGGATGTATTGTAATAAAAATAATTGCCTAAAAACACATTTTATTAATAACACTAAAATTGTACTTTTCTCCCAGATTTCTGTCATAAGAATTGATGCGTGTTTATAAGTGACAAACTTAATGTTTCTAGCCCTAATATTTACGTTTTTATGAACATAATTGAATCAATCAGTAGTATTATTTATTATAAACGTACATATATAATTAAGCATTAAGTTTGTAACTGATAAAATACTTATCAATTCTTATGACGGAGATCTGGGAGAATAACACAATTTACATATACCAGAATACATAACCACTTTACATGAAAATATTTAAATAATTATCATTTATAAATTTTTTATTAATAAAATAACATATTTCTTTTTTAGTTTCTAGGAAATTATTTTAAATACAATAACATCCATATCACGGAAAAACAAGAAATAAAAGCTTTGCAACAGTTAATTGTATCATCAAATTTTTTACAAGAAAAATGATGTCATTTTATACTGCATGAAACTTGTTCCATTACCACCAGCGGGGTACGCGCGGTAGACTCAACCCAACATCTCACGTCATTTCATACTGCATGACTTGTATTGTATCATGATCATTTTTTAATTGCGTTTTAATATACCTATATATTACGGTATATATATTACCTATTAATATTTTAATTAATCATGATAACTTTTTTAACGGAACTTAGCTGTGTTTGTCCACTCAATAGTCTTCTTTAAATAGTTTTAACAATGACAAACTGATAAACGTTTAAATTAAATTTTATCTAGTTTACTAGGGAGCATTGTTTAATTACTTAAATCAAATATTTTTTAAATTATTGCCTCCTATTCAACGAAAAACGTGACTTGCATAAAAAAAAATCCTGCTTTTCTGCTAGAAATTCGGCAAATTTATATATGAATTATTTAGTAGATTTTGATGTCCTCTATTAACCTTTTAAATATTTCCCTCTACTTAAGGAACACCCTGAATATACATAAACAGTGTAGAGTAACTTAATTTTAAAATTAAGTAATAACTGATGATTGACTATACTTACAGCTCGGTAAGTTCTTTTCTGCCCAGCATGGTTACCGTACTTGGCACCCTGGCCCACGTGAATACCGTAAATTATGTTGTAGAAATCTTCCACCACAGCTACCCGTCGCAAAGGACCTCCCTGAAAAAAAGATTAAAAAAAAATTAACAAACACATTCGTTCTCGTAAACCTACCAACTAAATTATCTTTAGCGAAAAGGTGCTCAATACATATCACAAACTTTGATCTCGCACCCTTTCCTTCAATTCTAGAAGTACTGAAATTGCTAACAGAGCCCTGGCTGCTACCAATTCCTAAAATACCTAAAGTCAAATGTACAAGGCCCTTGCGTCAAAATAAGGATGACCAGACTTCACGGACTTCCAACGGAAACATTCCGATTGGGAATATCTTTATACAGATGGAGTCGGTGCGGCCACTGTTTCTGACCATGAACAAATGCTCTCATTACCTCCATATTGCACTTCCTACCATGCAGAACTGTTTGCAATAAATCGTGCCGTTTGTAGTCTCAACTGCAATAAACAGCAAATTTATATTTGTACAGATTCAGAATCTGCTTTTACGGCTATGAAAAATTTCTTTTCAACTAACTCATTGGTCACAGACACAGTTGGGCGTATTTAAACATTGGAGGGTGTAGGATGTAAGATACAATTTTCGTGGTTACCGGGTCACTCAGGTATTAGAGGTAATGAGCTAGCCGATATCATGGCAAAACAAGCAATCAAGGAAGGAATTCCAGTAGGGGATGCTTTTCCAAAGGAAGTAGTAGCTTTGGTAAAGAGAAAGGCTCTGGAGAAGTGGCAGGGTCTCTGGCGTGTTTTAAGAGACAATAAGAGAGTAATCTACGCCCTCCAGTTGAATAGAAGAGAAGAAATAATCCTGACAAGTCTTCGAATTCGACACTCAGGGCTAGCTCATGCATACCTATTGACAAAGGGGACACCCCCTCAGTGTCTCTGCTTCGGGGTCAATTTAACAGTTTATATTTTGACTGAATGTTATGCGCATGAATCACAACGAAATGAAGTTGAATTGGAGAATGATATAACTGAAATTTTGAAAAACACCACCAAATTGGCAAACAAAAAAGGTTGATATTTATTCAAATAACGCACCTATATAACAAAATTTAAAATTTGCTTACACTTTTTTTAGAAATTTTAATTTTTTAAATATTTTGTACTCTCTACAAATTTATTGTTTAATTTCATCTAATGTAAATACTGTGCAAGGGGTAAAATGACCCGTGAGAGGTTGAGAAGCCCCCCCCCATTGTTATAAATAAATAAATATATCCGAACGTATAATATATATATATATATATATATATATATATATATATATATATATATATATATATATATATATATATAAATTTATTTTTATATATATTATTAAATAGTTAGTTTACAATAATTTAGTTTATTATCGCTCATAATGTTTATGCTATAAACTCCCGAGACTTTTTGAGGGGTTCGTCGTCTCACTCCCTACCAGAATGGAAAGTCTTCGGCTATGATTTATTTTCAACCTTTACTCCCTTGTTAAGGTCTTATTACAGGAAGGTGTTGCATGATGGTGGGAAAAAAAAAATATATATATATATACACACACACACACACACACACACACACATATATATATATATATATATATATATATATATATATATATATATATACACACATATATATAGTTATAGTGAATTATAATTTAGTCCAACCTATATTACGGGAACAAACTTGACAGGTTCAGATGCGGACCAGTTTGCCGTGGATCCCACGGTCCAGAGGCTGAGCTGAGAGACCCAAGACCTTGCGACCTCTCTGAGTCAAAGGGTTTCTCCCTCATCCCTCCTCGCCCAGCCACCGGTCCAGTTCAACTACTCCATCTCATCCCAACAATCATTCTCTCAATAAACAATTCCATCAACAATAATCAAAATGTTTAAAATATTTTGAATAAGTAATTTGACCCTATGATTTGAACGGAGCCACACATAGGCATCGTCAAGCCGGCAATGAGACAGTTGTTTGAACTACATATATATATATATATTTTCTTTTAATTAAACATATTTATTCAGAGGTATTACAATCTGTTACAATTAAGGACATTTATAATAGTGTTCAGAGAGCACATTCACACTCTATTACAATAAATAATACAGACAAAATAATAATACTAAAGGCAAATGTATATAAACAAAAAAAAAATAAACTAATCATTATAACAACTTAACAATATTTACATAATCCATTCACTCAGGAGGACTCCAAGCCAAGTCTTTCACCCCACTCGTGGAAGGAAAGGCAGGACTCTAGGAGATCCCAGCGTCTCTCACTCATAATAACGACCAGTAGAGGCTGAGCATAGGAGCTATAATCACACATACATGGCTAGAGTGGAGAATCTGGCCATTGCCAGAACCCAATATATACTTATTCTAATATTAATATATACTTGAGGCCACTGCCTCGTCAAACTTCGAGGAGGATTGTACAGCAATATTTTAATGATATAGTTTTAAATACTAAACTATCAGCTGTAGTTAATGAAATTAGAGAACCATTATTTAGATAGTGGACTTTTAAAAATTCCGTTAAGCTTGTAAAATTACATTATATTTGTTGACATCTGTTATTCGCTTGATCACTTATTTTCTCTCTCTCTCTCTTTATATGTATATAAACTGGCGTATGTATGAGGGGGAGGAGGGAACTTTCAGTCACAATTATTTTTTAAAAAAATTTAATTTAAATTATTTTTTTAGCCAAATGGAAATATAATTTATTTCATTGTTCCATAATTGTTTAAATGACCGATCTTAACTAAACATTTAAACAATCACAATATATTGCTTTTTAAAATTATAATACATGCACATGCAGGTCAAGAAACATTTAAGATACCTATTTAAAGCATTATTTTACCTGTAATTACATTTTTTATTTATTTATTTGATGGGCTTCAAGGACCACTTAGACTTCATTTCATATATATATATATATATTTGAATTATCAAAAAATATCTAGCATATCTTTATAACTTATTAAATGTCGAACAAGCCAAGTACGAAATAGGATTTAACGATTATTATCTTAATATGATTTTAGATATTTATATAATAAATAACTTATTTCCAACTTTATAGTGCATTGATCTATAATAAACCCTTCTCCGTATTCATAAAATGTTTTATTTATCAATAAATTTATATTTATATGTATAAGGCAAACTGGTCCTCTTGACTTATCTAGTTTGTCTTAATAAATATAGGTTGGACTAAATTATAATTCATTATCACAAACCAAATATTTTTTTGTTTTAAGTAAACATTTATATATTTATTCTTTTCCTGAAGTTGTCAATCTTAGGTTATACTTCATAAAATTTTGCAATAGTTTTATAGATGCCATAAAAATAAGTTTCAACATGTACAGTATTTGAGTAAAAAATTGGAGAGGGAAAATGAGTTATATGTGAATAATATATGTATAACAAAGCAAAAAAAAAAAAAGATCTAAATGAAATAAATACAGAATAAACAAAATAAGGATAGCAAAAAATACCAACGCTGGCCATCCATGGTCAGATGAAGTGAAAAGGAATCTAAACAATTTAAGCAAATCTTTTTTGAATCTGAATAAAAAATGATGTTCCGTCTCAAGCCATTTTCCTTGAAAATTATTGTAGTAATCAATTCAAATCGTTGTCTGTTAAAAAATTTTTAGTCGTTTATTATATGTTTAAAATCTTGGATCTACATAGGCATCCAAATATTAAATATAAAAGTTTAAAAGAAATATATTTATATTTATATATAAAAAGATTGGAATTGCATACTAAAATCAATTAATAAAGGAAATTTATTAACCTTTATTTAACCCGCTTTATTAAACTTTAAGGATTGAAAATCTTCTCCAAAACATTCAAACATTTTAAGAATCACATCATTTCTGCATAATGATTAGTTGTTTTTATTATTTAACTATTACCCATTCTTATGATCGAAAAATAATCGACCTTTTTGGTAGAAATTACATTTTTTTATTGTTGCTAAAAATTACTTCATGTTCGGTTCATAAAAAATTTATTCGATCAGCAAATTGTTTTTTTCTGATAAAATTCAACATACCGTACGTAGAACGTGAGGTGAGAGCACGTTCTTTAAAACTACCGACACGATAGGATGATAATTGCAAGTGAAGCAATAGAGATTGATTGATCAATTAAAATAAATAAATAATACATGTTAAACTACATTCACTAATTAATCGTCTACAAAATTGTCTTTAAGAAAAATTTGTTTTCGTTTTGTACAGAATTTTAAGAATGATTTACTTTTAATGTAAGTTAGTAATGAACGTTAAGTCTTGTATTGTGAGTCTTGGTCTTGCGCCCTCGGTCTTGATCTTGGTCTTGCGCAACAGTCTTTCAGTCACCTATTAGCCTATTACTATAGAGATATTACTGTAATTTTTCAGATAAGGGAAATTTAACTAAGCTCGAATGAAAATTTTGAAGAGTTAAATGCTAAAGTATATTGGTTGCACCAATTCTTTACATATAGTAACTAAAATTTTCAAGTATTAGTAACAATTTTGCCTTCACTTTTATTCACAAAAACAATTTTTTTTTTACCAATCTTGTTCTTGGTCTTGCAATAGTCAGGCTGTCTTGGTCATGGTCTTGCAAAGTGATTTTGGGCAACACTGGTTTAGTCTATTCTAGCCCATAAAGTATCTATACATGTCGTTTTTCATAGTAATTATTTGATGGACGTTCATATTCAGTTTCATAAATATTAAAAAAAAAAAAAATAAGAACTGACCGTAGATGCTGGTACATAGAGTTGGTTGTCAACCAGCCGGAATCCCTTGCTTTTTACCCAAAAACGAAACTTCGATGACTCGGCGGACTTCGGTATCTCGCCACGAACGCTGCTCACTATCTTCTTGTACTTGTGAAGTCTGATAGTCTTCGATTTGGTTCCTGTTGAAAAAAAAAAGAAATATGTATTTTTTTAATATCCATTACATATAATATTAGTATTTACAAGTAAACACGAAATCAAAATATATTTATATATTTTTAACAAATAAAAATATGGATAATGAAGTATGGTTCTGTAATAGAATGCATATGGAAATTTCTTTTTTATCATAAATTTTAATCGAAACAAATCTTGAAATATCCTAAGAGAGACTTTAAGTGTAACGGGTGGATGGTAAATTTTATTGCATTTTAAAATGTATTAAGGGTTTGCATATTCAGTAAAAATGATTTATAGACAATTTTTAGACGGTATGCCTAGATCATGATGGAGTGAATGACATCAAATATAGACAAACAACTTTCGGATTAGAAATTACCCCACAAAATCTATTCACACACCCCTTGCTAATTTATCAAATATTTTATTTATTCTCAGTATAAATATTATTGTAAACATAAAATCGAATAATTTTAAAAAATATAAACTTCATGTGATTCATTCAAAAAATAAAATAACAGTTCAAAAATCAATGGAGGATTACAACTTATTCTCAAAAGAAAACTCCTGTTTAATACTAAATTTTGCAACAAAATAAACAATTATTCAGTATCAGTTTAAATACCTTCACCGTAGTTTCGAAGACACCATTCTTGGAAGCCGTCATATTCCTTAGTCCTTTCTTCATCCATGTCTGGAATTTGCTGAAGAATGCCTAAAAAAAAATAAAAAAATAGATACCAGCTTAAGTAAGAATTAAAAATTTATTAAAATAAATAAAGATAAAATATAATGTATAAAGTGACATATAAGTTTGAATTTAATGAAAATAGATAAAATTTGTCTAATTAAATAGAAATGGAAAATGTTAAGAAATAATAATAATAAAAAAAAATTATATAAAAAATATAATAAGAGTTAAAATCTAAGTAATGTCAGGATTTAATAGTAGCCCTGAGATATGTATAATGATAGTTCGACAAACGAACTGGAGGTAATTCCAGGAGATTTCTCTTTTAAAAGGGTCGCCATTTTGAGGGGCGTGGCCGCAGGTATGCGTAGTGGGGGTTGAAAAAGGGTTAAAGAAAAGGGCAAACCGGTCCTTCAATTGGATTGATAAGAATACAACAGTTTTTTTTTTTATAATCAATATTAAGATATATAAAAATCATGTCTAATAAATGTTTATATAAATACTGTATAGATATCTTCAATGACAAAAAAAAAAATAGTATGTTCATGGTAATAAATTTATTTTTATATTATGTTTAAATACATGTTACTATAACAAACAGATCAGAATAAATAGCAACAAATATAAAAATAAAAAAATGTATGAAGAACCGATAGACAGTGACAGGTATTTCAACATTTTGAATGAAACCAATTACTTAAAAATGGCACCTCCTTAATGATATTATAAAATGAATCTTAAAAAATTGTCTTATCTTTTGACAAATTTTTTTAACAGGCTGCACCCTCGGTAATCTTATATTAAATTAGTGTTGCCTAGTGTTACCCAAATGCGAGACCGAGACGAGTCACTCAGTCTCGGTCTAGGTCTTGGTCTTGCACAAGACTCTCGTAACAGTCTTACAGTTACCTATGAGCTTATTACTAGGGAGATATTCCTGTTATTTTTTAGATAGGAGAAACCAAACTAAGTCGGAATGAAAAATTAGAAGAGTTAAATGTAAAAGTATATTGGTTACACCAATTCTTTACACATAGTAACTAAAATTTTCAAGTATAAGTAACTATTTTGCCTTATTTTTTATTCGAAAAATCGATTTTTTTTACCAGCCCTGGTCTTGGTCTTGCAACAGATAGGTGGTGTAGGTCTTGGTCTTGCAA